TAGTCTAAATTTGTTTATAAATTTGCTATTTCATAAATACTATAAAAACTTAAAACTTTTTTCAGCTATAATTTTTAAATGACAAAACAAACTTAGAAGTTCTGTGTTTTCATAGGTTCGAATTTGAAACAATAGCAAACACAATAATCTCAGGTATTAATGTGATTGGAGGAAGTAGTATTGGGAGTTGAGTTTAATGACGAGTAAAGAGGGAAGCAGAGGTACAGTCTTGGAAAAAAGTTTAAGACCACTTGGGAAAAACTGAAAATTTAATAAAAAAATTATTGCACTACAAAAAAGTTAAATGCATTAAATTAGTGTCCACAGCAGCTAAACCCAAAAGTAGCACCAAGTTATAGCACCAAAACTATAAAAAGTACAAAACAATATCAAAACACTAGTATTTTGTTGAACCGCCATTGTTCTCAATGACAGCTGCCAAACGTTTCTTCATTAAAGTAGCATATTTCCTGCACACTTTTGGGGTTATTTCTGTCACTCACACTTTTTAAATAACTTCTTTCAAGTCAATAAGGCTTCCAGGCTGCTTTACTGATACTCAAATTTTCATCATGTTCTAAAAATTCTCTATCAGCTTAAGGTCAGGTGATTTGTCGGGTCAATCTAACATGTCATTAGGGCTTTCTTGAAACCATTTCTTACATACCTTAGCTGTATGGCATGTTGCAGAGTCCTGCATAAAGTGAGTGCATTGCAAGATTGTCAAAAAGTTGGGTAGTTTTGATTTTTAAAAAACGCAAATATCTGGCAGATTTCATGCATTCTTCCTTTCCTAAAAACTCCATCGCACCGCGACCATTTCCACTTAAACAACCCCAAATCATAACAAACGGTTGGTGTTTCATCGTTTTCAAAGTATATTTGTCATCATAACATTTTTGGCTTGGTCTTCTAACATGTTTTGCGGTTATTCCAAACTGTTCAAAGGTAGATTCATCTGACAAGAGAATCTTTATCCAATTTTCCTCTGTTTAATCTCGATATTTCATAGCAAACTTTAATTGTTTTTCTTTCAATTCTTGTGTCAATCTTGGTTTCTTTGCTGGACGATAGGAATTGAGGCCATATTCTATTAACCTATTTCTTATAGTTCTGGAAGAAATATTTCATTGCTGACATCGATGAGCATTTTCCGAAAAGTCGCTGAACTAATAAATGGATTTTTCGTAACTGTTCTGCGAATGCTTCGATTTTTTCTTGGGGTGGTCTTCTTTGGCCGCCCTGTTCTCTGCTTGCCAGTGAACGAATTCTTTTCATTGAAACATTTTATTGCTCTGTTTACAGCAGTTTTATAAGTCTTTAACAATGCTGCAATCTCTTTTTTGCTTCGCCCAGCTCGGCTGAACGCGACAATCTGTACCCGTTTTGTTGGTGACAAATTCTTTGCTTTGCCCGTTTCTTATGAAATCTTAAAAACAAGAACAAGGTACGTTTTTAAACAGAAATAATACGATAAGAAATAAGAAGGAAAAAACAGACAAATTTTAATTTATAATACATACTTTTTTCATTATTATTACGCTCTTTAACTGTAAATATAAAGAAGTTTATTTAAAGTTGTTTATATAATTCAATTCTTTGCTTAACCGAAATATGCTTTAATTTATTATGTTGCTAAGGGCAACAAACAGCTCAGCAAAAGAAACGAATAATTGTGCAATTTAAGAAATATAAGCAGTTTTCTAATACAAAATTACTTTAAAATAGCATTAAGTATTACACAAAAATTTGATCTTCTTACCTAGTTAAAAATGGTTTTCACGAAATTTTACACCTATAAGTTACAAAAATGGACCAGAGATAATTGGAAATTGTGTTAACTAGCTATGGTTGCCAAATAAAAACTTATACACGCTCATTTTTATTTTAGGCACTAAAGTATAGCCTTTATACGTAGTGGTCTCAAACTTTTTTCCAAGACTGTAGATTTCATGTCAGGACAAAAATCAGTCTTAGAATGTAGTGTACTGAGTTCAGATTCAATTTAATTGATATAGAATCATTTGAGTATATGTAACATTGTTATTACAATTTTGTAACAAAATGGTCCTCCGAAACAAGACTATACAAATGTTGGATTGTCCTATATTTGAAAGTTTGAATGAATGATAAATAATGTTGCCAACATATGAAAATGTGATGAAATCCTATTTTCTTATAAGATATAAACTTAAACCAGATACATCAATAAAGGAACCAACTGTAAGTGAAGTATCTAGTATTTTAGCTCAGAAAATTGAAAATATAATGTTAAAAGCATCTTTTGCTGTAGTTTCTAGTACCCAAATATTACAAATGATAAAAGCATATCATGACAAGTAAATAAGTTAAAATCTATGAGCAGAAAAGGATCAAAAAACATGCCTCCAACCTTGTTACATTTAAAAAACATGCTAAATGCATATTTGATATTGCTGCCTGTAAATGTTTAGACTTTTAACAATGTAGCTGTACAAAAGTCTCTTTACCAGAGCAGGAGTTTTTAAATGATCAACAATCGTCCAGAAAAATGGTTATGAGTAACGTCGACAGAGCTACAACAAACGCTTTCTAATTGATAGATACCAGAAAACGTGAAGAAATGCAGAGAAATGTTCTATTTGTCTAAGAAAAGTCAATAAACACAACAATATTATCACCGTTTACTGATAGTGAAGATAGTATGAAAAAACAAAAAAAAGTATTAGAGATTTTCACTGTTAGTGACGAAGAACAGAAAAAAAAATTACTCAAATGACCATTAAACTGCCATCAGCTGCCTCCATCTGTGGTCTCACATAATTATCCAATAGAGCTGCTGCAGCAATTGCAAGCGATACATTGCAGGACTTGGATTTAATAAATAAAGATAACAAAAGTATAGTAACTGAACAAATACAAATCAGAGGAGCAAGGTCAAATAATCGGGAGAAACGCATTCAAGACAGTCAGGACCTAGTTACCGATTGTATTTTAATTCAAGAAAAGATTCACAAAATGATTACTTAGGCTTAGTAACACCATTATCTTAAATTAGTAAATATATTTAAGAAAGCATAATTGAGTTTTTACAAGATCACGAACATTAAAGCCAAATAAGTTGTTGCTCTTTCCGCAATTGGATATGATGGAACCGTTGTAAGTACTGGAGTCAACAAAGGTGTGGTTTCGCTCTTGAAAAGCAAAACAGAGAGATCACTGTAATCGTTAGTTTGCTTATTCTATGGCAACAAATTGGCTTTACGCCACTTTTTTATTCTTTAGATGATAAAACTTTGGGTGCCAATAAGTTTAAGGGGGAACTAAATAAAAATGTAATATTGAATTATGAAACAAGTTAATAAATGTAACATACCAAAGAGTAAACCTTTTTCTATTTTTACTTGTATTAACAATAATATTATAATTTCATAAAACAAGTTGTACATAATAATAGTATTTTTTTTATGTGTTCTTATAAAAAAAAAAAATGTATAGATCATTAGTGACACAAAATTAGTCAAATCTCATTACCTTCAAAACATTATGCACCAATTTGTTAGTCAGATATTAACAATATTTTTAAAAACTATTTTTTCAAGCATCTTAAATAACGTTTCATAAATAATGCTGATTTTTTTTTTTTTTTTAAACTACCTCCACAAGTTCCAATGGGATTGAGATCTAGTGATTGCGCAGATTGGTTTATTACTCTAATCAACAACTACGTATACTATTTTGGTAGCCAAAAAGTGGTAGATTTTGGATCGTTGTCTTGTATAATGACCCATTTTTATAGTATTTTTTTTTTGTTTTGGACTGGGCAATTTAGTAATTTTTAGATAAATGCGTTGGTCATCTCTTCTAATGAGCTCTTTTGCTGCAAAATAATAAAATACCTTAAGTTGTATATTGAGGTTGTAGAAATATTTTAACTGATCTAAATTAAAAAAAAAAAATTTATTTTATCAGATCCTAAAATGTTTCGTTGTAGTGAAGCAGACTTATATTTATGTTTAAGCAAAACTTTTTCTTATTACAAACGACTTTTTTCTAAAAAGAAACTTTTTTTTTTTAATGATTTTCCATGTTCTTTTCTGGTAGATATTCTTAAATTTAAAATTACTTTTGAAGGAAGACACAAAAGCACTTTTTTATATTTAGTATGCAGGCTTTTTCAAGGTTTTTCTTTCTTGCATTAACTCTACTATCGGTTTTTTTTTTTTATTCAATAAACTACTTCCAAGAACTCATAATTTCCATATTAAACAAAATTTATTAATTACTATAAATATTTAATTTACTAAGCACTAGTGGTCTTTTTACTTTCAGTAAATAATAACTAAGTTTAGTAAATAAAAATCAAATTCAAATAAAACGACCGCAAATAATCAATTTTAAAACTCGAAGATTTCAATACTATCTTGGTTAATGCTATAAATATCATAACTCACAATGCAAACAATAATGTTGTAATTTTTTAATTAACATAAATACCACAATTATGACTTTATATTTTATTCCTTTAAGAATTGTTAAAAGCAATAAAATAGACAAAACAGCAATTAAGTTATTATAAATATATGCTCAAGAATTTTTTTTTTGTTTTGAGTCATTAACATTTTAAATTGGAAGTTATTTTTATTTTCACTTTTGCCTGGTTAAAGTTAACTTCCTTTTTTTTATCAAAACTCATGCCAAATTAATAACAAATCTAACTAATATTTGATAATCCTTTAAATATATATTCTGGAAATTAGACTTTTAAGTTATTATTATTAATTAGACCTTAAATGCAAAAAACATTATGAGGAGTTAAAAAATTCAATTAAATTGCAAGAAGTCTTTGAATAGGCTTCACACAGCATATAGACTGAGTAAGCGTCAAAAGTGAGCAATATCTAATCGTTGTCATATTTAAACAAAAAAAAACCATATTAACCATATTTTAATAAAAAAAAGCAAAATATAACATATAACAAAATATATAAAATAATGAAAAATATAAAAAAATGACTCACCATAAAATTCGAACATGACCTTATGGGTAAAGCCAAAATATTGTCTTTTAAACGGCCACTTTGGATCAGCTAAAATACAGCTCCATTTTTTAAACAACGTTTTTAATACTTTTTAATGTTAAAAATAACAAATAAAAATCCAAAATAAAAGTTTATAAGAATGTTTACTTAAATACCATTGTTAAATAATATTTTAGAAAAAAAAACCACAAAAAAACAATTGTTTTACTTTTGAAACAAAAAATTTATGAATTGCTAATATACTTAGTATAATTGATTATAAACAATTTTATTTAATTTTTTTTAAACATCTAGGTAAAAATTAAAGTCATTAAATATGATCATACGTTACTTTCATTTAATTTTTACCAATAAAAGTTTAAATACAACAAACATTAAAATTTTCGAAACAGTTGAAGAAGTACAAAAACATAGAGTTTATAATTTTTTATAGCCTCAAAACTGTTGTGATAATAAGTTCTCTGCTAACAAATAATGTTATTTTATATATTTAATTTTTTATCTATCTTTTCGGCGTAAATAAAATGTAAACTTTTGTATTTTGGTCTAACGCCAAAAAGTTAAACACCAAAAGACTTTTGTAATGTCGTTCATTATAATTTTTTTTTTGATTTTACTTCTTGAATTGTCTTCATAAATGAGTCAAAAAAAGAAAGGGTAGGTCAGTATATGCCACGTGTTTTGGAATTTTATAATTTAGCATAGTTTTACTATTTTTGATGTTTAGATGCATGAGACATAATGGGAACCATTAAATGAGGTTATTAAAGTTACTTGCTAGTTTTATCTGCATACAATTATGATTTTAATTTAAAAATTTGAGAAGTAAAAAAGCGTTCGAAAAAAGTTGTGCTGTTGTAAGGTTGAAAAATGTGATTTATTAAATGTTACAACGTTTGCACAAACCATATAAATTTTTTTTTGTTTTTAACTAAACAAAACAAGTTCCAATCGTTGTAGAACTTGTATTGTTTAGTTAAAAACAAAAAATAATCCTTGTACAAAAAATAATCCTTGTAAATAACATTGTTATTTTTACAAAAAAAGGTCAAAATTTAATATAAAAGTTGGGATTTTTAACATAAGTGATCAGAATTGTTTGTTTTACATTACAAGTGACACTGGTTAACCGTTAAGTTGAATGTGTGGTAAAAAGTTGTTTAATAAGAAAAAGTCAAATCTTAAACGTCACTTATTAAAAAAAGCATTCTGTTTTTGCTAAAAGATACCGTAAAACAGGATGGCTTTGATTATGGTGGTAAATTTGATAATTATGCTTGTTAGTAACAAAAGTATTTGCCTGACAATGCAATTGCAACATAAATACCCGTTTCATGATTTTTCTAATGTGTAGTTTTATTCTGAGTTTATTTTTGAAGTTATAATGATTAGTTTTAAGAATACCCGAATATACAAGCATAAAGCTTGTATATTCGCTTATTCTTGAAACTAATATTGGGTGTCGATTTTTAAATCCTATACGGAAATCTTTCCCTTCTCTTTTTTTTTAAAAGATACTCTATCTTCAACTCATCAGCATAGTCACAAACTAACTGCAAAGCTTTGGTTTCAAATTCATCATCAAAAGTATTTTTAAAAGGTCCTAAGCTAGGACGCAGCTATGTTTAAGGATTTAAATTTTTAACTCTGTCATGAAGTGTTTTACGAGATCTTTTTTTTTAGTTTATTTACATTTAGCGTAATATAAACATATAAACTTGAAATCTGGAAGAAGATCATCTCGATCGTCAGAACCTTATAAAAATTACAATACAAGTATAATATAAAATAATACAGGTTGTTTATAACGAAATAGCAATCTAAAATTTTTGAAATAATAAATGGTTAAAATTTTATCTCAAAATAATTTCAATATATTATCCAGAAAGAATAAAATACTTCAATTTGTACTTTAAAAAAAGAAGAAGATATAAATGAATCTTAAATAAGGCTGGATAATTTTATTTCAGAGATAAGGTGCTCGATAATCTTTACAATATTAATTAAACTTTGTTTAACAAAGGGTTCTTTTAAGTAGTTATTGTTTTTGCAAACTATTTTTATTTTTTACTTTAAAGGTATATAGATCTTTGAAAACATATATTATTGGGTTGTTCATACAGCAAAACGTAAAACATAAAGTATTATACAAGTTAAGTTCATAAACGTTTATCACATTCATATCTTTGAATAAAGCTTTTTTGTTTAAAAAATAACTTAAAAAAAAAATACATTTTGCTTTGCATGTTTCTGATGATGGTAAAAACGTTGCAACTTACTTTTACCTGTACTTTCCCAGGCAATACTTCCAGAGTTTATATAGCTATGAATAAATGAGTAGTTTAGTTGTTTTTAATTACTTTTATTTAAATAATATTTGGCGTTATATAGGATTCCAATACTTTTTGCAACTATTTTTGGTATATAATCAATTTGAGTTTTCCATGCCATATTTTTTGTAAGATAAACACCTAGAAATTTTAAATCGGATTTTTTTTTTTAATTCTTCTTTATTATTATAACGTTTAGGTAAATCTATTGACATAAAACATTTTATGTTGACAAGGAAAAAAGGATCTTTGTTTTAATAATATTTAAGGTTAATTTATTGCATTTAAACCAAATAGAAATTTGTATAAGTTCTTTGTTCATATTAAAAAAAAGTTTGTAAATGTCTTTGTTTGATAAAAACAGATTGGTAACGTCTGCAAAAGTGATGCTCATAAAGTTCGAGGCCTTATTTAGATTGTTGATGCATTCAAAAAAGAGAAGTGGACCAAGAATAGAACCCTCTGGAACACCACATTTTATTTCAAATAATGTTTTATTTTGAAGATCAATAGGAAGCAGTTCATCTCTGTGGTAGACAAATTACTTTCTATTTGACAATTTGTTTTATACCATTTTATCAACTTACAAGTTACTCCATAGAACTTGTTTTTTTTAAGTAAGATATTGTGATTGACTGTATCAAAAGTCTTTGATAAATGAGTTTGAGACTGCGTGTAAACTGAAATATGATTTGTTCAGTTGAATTTTTTTTTTTAAGCCAAAATGATTTTTTTATAGTAAATTATTTCAAATCAGGTAGTTGTATGTTTTTTTCAGATGAATTTTTCTAATGTTTTTGAAAAAATAGAAAGTATAGAAATAGGGCGATAATTATTAAGTTTGGTTTTTCTCCGTTTTTACAAATCGGGATAACTTTGGCAATTTTAATTTAATCAGGTAAAACCCCTTGTTTAGATGTTTCGAAAACTTCAAATATACTATCTTTAAAGTTTTCAAAGCAATCCATAAATATAATTCCATTTTATAATTATATATATTCCATCACTACCAATTGCTTTGTATCTTTTAAAACATTAGAAGGCTCTTTCAAACTCATAAGTTGATAAATCTAGGAATGTCATGGGGCAAAATTTAATAAATTAGAGTTGTTAGAAAATCATTAAAGGAAATATTTGTAATAGGAACTCTTATAGCCAGCCTTTTCCGACATCAGTAAAGTATTTATTAAATTCTTTTTCGCTATTTCAATTTTTTCTAATTTTATTTTTTTTTTACGCTATTTCAATTTTTTTTTTTTTTTTTTGTCAATTTATTTGACTTTAATAAAAAAAAATTACAATTACAGAATAGCTTTCTTACAAATATAATTAGCAGGACTTTTAGAAGATTATACGACCTTATCATGAAGCTCTTTACAATATCAAATTTATTAACAACAAACAATATAACTAATCTAACCAATAACAATAATACAATATAAACTATATATAACTGTGCATTAAAATATAAATATACTGGATAAAATATAAGAAACAAAAGAAATAAAAACAAGAAAAAATATTTTCTGCTGAAAAGATAACTTCTTTTAATTTTCGTTTGAAAGAAGTTAATGTCCATTTCAATGACAAATCAAAATTTGGCAAAACTATTTTATATTGTAAATAAGGAACGCGATAAGAAATAATTAATTTTTCAAATTTAGTTTGCCAAAAAGGTTCCTGTAAATTTTTCCAATGCGAAGATTATTCTTGTTTATGGGTTTTACATTATAAAGTTTTACAATTACATCAGGATATATATATACAATTTAACTACAATTATATCAATTCAATTATGAATATACAATACAATTACATCAGAAGATATTGTTATGAGTTTAACACTATAATGGTTTACAAATGCATCAGGAAATTAGTGATTTTTATATTTAAACATGAAACATAAAATATTATAAACATTTATTTCACTCAGAATTGGTTTTGAATTTGAAAAACGATTTACAAAATTAATTAAGCGAGCTGCGTCTTTCTAATGCTGATAAAGATAATATCGAATTGTTGTTTCCAGGATAAGTTTTCGTCTACAAAAACTCCAAGAAGTTTTGTAGCTTTGTACGTTTTTAGTATTTTAGTATCAATGAAAAGATCGGGCGTCATATTTTTTATCCAACATTTTTTCTAGGTATTGGGTAAAAAAGTGTCCATTTTACTTTATAAATATTGAGATCTGAAACCAATATGAAATTTTATTTAACTCTTATGTCATATTATCCAAAAGTGTGTATATATTTTCATGAGATATATATATATATATATATATATATATATATATATATATATATATATATATATATATATATATATATATATATATATATATATATATATATATATATACATATATATATATGTATATATATATATATATATATATATATATATATATATATATATATATATATATATATATGTATATATATGTATATATATATATATATATATATATATATATATATATATATATATATATATATATATATATATATATATATATATAAAATAATAAAGACTTAACTATGGATCCCTATGGGACATCACATGTTACAACCATTAATAGTGGCAAATAAGAGTCTTGCCATGATTACGATACTGCTTACGATTACTAACACAGCTTTTGAACCAGCTTAAGGATTTATGATTTATTCCATAAAACTTTAATTTTTTCAATAGAATGTGGTGATCAACAATATGAAAAGCTTTAGACAAATTGATGAATACATTTAGGGTATAATGAGAATTTTAAAAAATTTCAGAAATACGACGTGTTTGTTAGAAATTGTTTCCCTGGAAGCCAAATTGATTATTATGTAAAGGTTTAGTACAAAGAAAACATTTTTAGACTCTGATATAAAATATTCTTTATTGTATTTTAGAGAAAACTGGAAGAACTGAAATATGACGATAATTTCTTAAGTTACAATGGTCACTTGATTTAAAAATATGATTACTTTTTGGTACTTTTAAAGAGTCTGGAAAAGTATCATTGAAAAAAACAAGTGCATTCATTGAAAAAAAAAATGAGCATTCAAAATCAGGGTTATTAATTTCCCTTAAATAATTCATATATAGGTCAGAATTATCATCTAAGGTAAAAAAGTTACTTTGAAAAAATTAAATATTTTTTGGAAGTTATTGTTAATAAATTAAGCCATTTTCGTAGCCAATTATTTTTTGGGAAAAAACAAAACAAAAACATAAGTACTATATTATCTTTGAATTTAGTGATTATTTTTTTGTAAACCGTTTTAGCGCAATTACCTGTGGCACAATTTTCTTTGGATTTTGCAAAAAGTTGTTTACTAATATTTATAGTTCATTCGCTGAAATCTTCGTTTTTTAATATTTTTCTAGAAACAGTTCGCGGTCCTTTAGTTTAGAAATTTTACCACAATAGTTCTTCTCCTCCGTTAACTTTTCTCCCTGTACGATGTGCTCTTTCAATATAACATTTGTGCTTAACATCAAGTTTTTTTTTCACAAATTGCTTTAATAATTCCTCCCTCTTTCCCATGTCTCACCTTCAATTTTATCAATTCCCTAAAATTTTAAACTATTACGAAGACTCCTATTTTCTTATTTAGCTAATTTGCCCTTTAAATTTTTTTTTACTTTGACTTATTTAATAATTGTGGATTATTTTTAGTTGTTTTCATAGATTAACTAAGTGTTTTGTATTGATGGTTTAAAAATTCAATGGTTATGTTTGATTTATTAAGTTATTTTTTCAAGACCGTTTTTTCTTCTTTCATATTGGTCAAGTCATTTTCTAATTTTCGAATGCGGTCATTGTAGATTTTGATCGTGGTAATCTCGTCCATTTCAAGTAGTTCTTTTACTTGAGATAAAAAATATTTTATTGTCATTTTATTAAAGGTATTAAGTCAATTAATTTCAACGATAAAGTTGGATAATGATAAAAATAATTTTTATATAAATTAGTAAAATTGATTTTTCCAAATAGAAGTGTTCGTTTGATTATCTTCTCGACTGCCGTTTATTTAATTTTTAAATCACGTTTCACAAATAATGGTTTGTTTGGTTCACATACATATACATTGTTTATTTTAATCATTTTGGAAGGAAAATTTGAGCAGGTTTTCCCGTTATTCCTTTCAATATTTTCCATCTTTGTTATGAGTCATTTTTATATTTATTAATTAGATTAGAATAATAATATTTTTTCAGGTTTTTACGATTTTTTCAAAAAAAGTTTTGTAGTTTTTATATTTGTGTAAATTTTGTTTTTAAATATTTTATACATAACTTTTGTTTAACTTTTCATGATTTTATAAGACCCTTAGAAATCCAAGGAATATTCAAGAATTTCGGTTTTAAGGTTATTACGAAGACAGGCAAATTTGCATCGTACACTGAAAAGAATGTGTTAAAGAGCTTATTTGTAGAAAAAAATTTGTCTTCATTAAAAATTATATGTTTCCAGCTTAACAATGATAATTGTTAAACTGGAAGCATATAAATTTTAATGATGACAAACGGAGCGTTTCTAAATTTTTTTTGTTGAAAATACATTTTCTTATAGTTTGACTTTTATTAGAGTTAGAAGCTGAAATCGTGTTAATGGTATTGCTCCTAATACAAATATTTCATCATAAAATTTTTATATATATTTTTTTTCGCTATCCATTAAGTCGCTCTGATGTCAATTAAAAACAATCGCATCGGCATGTTAAATGAGGTGATAATATTGCAAAATATTAAAAAAAATCCTTAACGAATTTTTGATAATTAAGAATTTTATAAGAAAATCATTATTAAGATTTCCAAAAAAAAATGATATAATTTTTATTCCAGTGAAGTAAAATGTAGTAATATTTACGTTATGCATAATTTCTTTTTTTTTTTTTTTTTGGAAATAAAAAAAAAACGCAATAGGCTGTTGTTCAGTTAGGTTAAGCGAGAAAGTGGGAAGATGAGCTGTACGAGAGCTAGTAAAATATCCCGTAAAAAAGTGTATCACGTAAAAAAGTGTTTATAAAAGAGTTTAGAAAGATCGTAACACGTGAAGAAGTGGTTATTAAAGCATTAAGAAAGATTATGTTAAGTTAAGAGATTATGTTAAGTTAAGATTATGTTAAGTTAAGAGATAATGCGAAAAGTAAATATAAAAGAACCAAGAAGTTGTTAAGAATTGCTAATAAAAATGCTAAAAACCAGTTGTGTTTAAAATTGATCAAACAACAGCTTAATGTAAAGTAATGTAAAGATTCATCTTAATCACCTCTTCATGTATTTCGACTTTAAAATTTCAATTTTACGCAATTTTTTTTCGTAAATTAGCCGCAAACTGTTTATAATAAAGTATAGATAACTTTTATACAGAATTTATATCGTTTATTTCTTAATATTTCTAAATGCTTATAAACGTACACACAATATAAACATCTAATCATATCACAAATAATCCATTCAAAAATGTTTAAAACATTTTAATAAAAGAGTTATTTCTAGTTAGCAATAGATTATTATTTATTAAAACTTAATTAGATGCTAAGAAACAAAAAGCAGCGTAAAAAACGTTTAAATTGTTATTAAAACTTGAATAAAAAAAAATTTTAACGATTAAAATTGTTAACCTAACCTCTTAGTTTATTTTTATACTATTTTTCTAACCATCAGGATTGCCAACAAACTATTTTGGTATCATCAAATTGGACATTAGGAAAATATAAGGTTTTTCTACTCCTTATTGAATATAAACTCAATGATTTGAGTATTGTTTTTTTACTATTCTTTACTAACTTTAAGAAAAGAGAAGGCGCACTAACTTCCTCCTGCAAGTATTAATAACGTTGGCCATCCACTGAAATTAATATATTTTAGTTTATATAATTGATTAGCTACAACAATATCTGCCAAAAGCATTATTCCAAGCATTATTGAGCCAATAAGAAAAGCTCTTTTGAGTAAAGTACGATGTAAAATACCAATAAAGCTTTCGTTTAGTAAGGCAAACTACTTTGACACATAAGCAAAAAAAAAATTCTGTTGATTGAATTTAGGGTTTTAGTAAAGAGAAGTTGAAAAATATGATACAGGATTTTGTGTAAGAAAAAGATGTTTAGATTTTTTTTGTCGATGATTGACTTTGAAAGGACTGATTGTGTAGATTTATGCCACGTTATTTTATAGTGGTTCCATAAAAAATGGATAACCTTGGCAATGCTAGAACCAAGAAAAAGGGCCACAATAGATAAATAAAAATATGTTTAATGATTATAAATGTAACAGTCATAAAAATAACAATGATATTGTGAGCCATTAGTATGTGGTCATATATCATGGAGGTCAAGGAAAAAAAGGCTGTGTTGTGACTTATATGATGTTTGGTACCACGTTAAATGCAAACAATAACAAGATTGAGTATTTTTAAGGCTAATGACTAGATCTGTGAGAACTAGTCATTAGCCTTAAAGTTTTTGACAAAATTAAATACATAAATGCATAAATACTGAAGAGTACTAGATTTAGGGTTTGTTATAATGGATTTAAATGAATTTTCGAACTTCTTTTTCATTAAAATAAAATACTTATACAGTATGTAACACGCATTTGAAAACTATTATTAAACCATATCTATTGCAGGTATGCAGCAAGTATGACTAAAAGACATTAAAGTTTAGATTATTATAAAATAAATAATAACAATGTAACACTTATGACATATCTACTTTTAAAAAAATATTATTATTAAATAGAACAAAATATTTATTACTTGGTAATTTGAAATCAATGTATTCTTTAACTGCTTTTTGTTCATACTTTATTTTTTTGTTATCAATCGTGCATTTGCAACTATTTTTAGTAAGTTTGAATACAATTTCGGAAGTCAATATGTAGCGCTAAATATTTTATTTTAAATAAGTTATTATTTTTTAAATATTAAAACTTCTCAAACAACCTTTACAAAAGTTAAATGAGTTTTAAAACTAGATCATAAAATATTTATATTACAATAAATAATATATAGTTAAAAAATATTTTTTAAATATTAAGTTGTTAAATGACTTCATATAATCAAAAAAAATCAGCTAAAAATTTCGACTAAAATAACAAAAACTAAATATTTTTTAACTGCTAACTATTTATTTATTTAAACAAATAAATAATATTTGCATTTATTGGTAAATTATTCAAAGTCATTAAAAAATCTTGTGGGCAAAAACTTGTCTTGGCTTTCTATTTTTAAATATGTAAATCAAACTTTAGGAAGACCATGGGCCGTCAGCAGTGTTTACTTCTAATGATTAAGTTAACCACGCTTAACATGAATCTTGAGAATGCCTGTAATAGTGTACATATAAAGGTACCGTGCGAAGATAAAATATCTAAAATAGTTGACAAACAAAAAATTTAGAGGTCATTTTTGGAGGAAAACTTTTTGGAAAATTTTTGAAAAGGAGAAAAATTTTTGAAGGGGAGAAAAATCTTTTGAAGAGCAGTAAAACCTTTTGCAAGAATGTGTCATCAAATATATTCTCATTTAAATTGTCAATAAGCCAGACAAGTGTTATTTAAATAATAATTTCCTTTAAAGAAAAATGTGTGTAAATATTATTTCTTTGTAATCTAAGTAACCTTTTCCCTAATTTTTATTGTTTTTAATTAATTTTATTTGGAGATATGTTAATGGATTGTTATTCAGTATAAAATAAAATAAAGCTTTTTAAAAACAAATTTTGATTTAGTTTAGACAGATTTAGTAAAATTAGAGTGTTACAAATTTCCAGCTTATGTTGCTAAATAGTTGTTTATAATTTGCATGTTATATATCATCAATTGTTCATCGGAGGTTAATCTAGAACTTTTTCCAAGATACCTACAAATTAAAAGCCAGTATAAAATGTTTGTAGTTGTAAGTAGCAATTGCGTTTTTAGGCGCATCAATATAGTGTGTTACATGGAAGGAATAGAGATGAAAGTGCAACGCTTTTGAAGTTCTTAAAACCATATGTGAAATCTTTTATTTATAATACAATAGAAAGCCGTAAATATTTTTACTAACGTCGGACGGCGCTTCTGTAGAATGTAAAAATTTAATCGCTAACTTAAACTTTTTCGATAAATTCTCTAAAACCAGCCTATTTTTTTCGACAAAAATATTTTAAGGTTCGCCTTGCAGATGCTTATATTGTACTATGATTTAAATAAAAAAGTACTTAAGTGCTCATTTAAATTTAAGCGACCCTATTTATTAAAAAATTTGTTTTTAACTAGAAACCCCTTTTTTTGTATCAAGTAATTAACTTTGCATATTTTGAATGCAGAAATCATATTCTTAATTATTTGAGATTTATTTAATTTTGTTTTTGCTAGTATTCAAATTTATATTAAAAATTAACTTTTTAACATAAAAACTATTGCGATGTTGTTTGATTGTAATGGTAATAAGTATTGGTTATCATTGTTATTGGATTAAAATGAGTAAACAAGTAATAAATCAATAATCTTAAGATGTTTCTTTTTAAAATCGTTTTCAAAATTTTCAAAAATGGCAAATGTTCTTTCATTCTCAATTAAATTTATTTTGGGGCAATTATGAACAAATTTAATTTATGATTTAAGAGGCTGAGAGTAGAAAAATGAAAGGATTTAAAGATAAATATAAAGGAAAATTTATAGTTTGTTCCATAAAGACAAATTTTAGTTGCATAGAGATCTTGCTAAAAAAATTAAATGCACACATGCCTTGATAACGCCTCATATTTTCTAACGCAACTCAACATAATTGATATTCATGTGCGGCCGTAGAGCAGTGGTTAGAGCGCTTACTTTATAAGCAGGAGATCCATGTTCAAAACGAACCTTGGACATATTTTTGCGTCACGGTAAGGAAGGAGGCGTGAATTTTCTGGTTAAGTGCACATCCGCGGTGCTTCTCTGACAAGACCGTTAGGTCTTCTTGGGGCACCTAAATAACAATAAAAAAAAAAAAAGGTTAAATATTTAGATCTCAAGGATATAAAACATACAAAAAAAACAACAACTCTAAAACAATCCTTTGATAAAGAAATTAAAACCATTTCTTAACTTAAATTGAAGTTTATAATTTTCATTAATCTGCTGTATAATCCCATAAAAAGTGATTCCCACCCCACCTCACTATGCCACTAAATTTAAGTGTTTCTTCCCTTTTACAACTTTCCAGTAGTTTGATATAGGTAGAAACAATTAAAAACGAATCAAAAACCGTCATAAACATACCTAATTAGCAAATATTAATTCTTTATATTGACTAACTAAAAAACTGATAGCTAAAAATATCTAGATTATAATTGAAATCTAATATGTTGCAACATTTTCATAACAAAATTTGCTTTGATGTAAAATAATGTCGGCAAGGAAAGTAGGTAAATATTTTAACATATAATCAGAGCAAAGCTGAAACCCGACTAATTTCAACAAACTGTATTATTTATAATATATAAGCGTAGCAATATTATTATTTGCATTTTTTTTTCAAAGTATGGTTTTTAAAATTAGTTTGTCGCATAATGAGGCAAATTAGAGATATTTCTTTGTTTTCTAATAAATTAGTAGAAACTCTACAAATTTACTCAAACTTACTTTATCATAGTTCAAATTTTAAAGCTGTAGCATTATTACATTTTTTTTTTAAATTAATATTAGGGTCCCATTTAATTTTTCAAGGTTTATTTGGTAGAGACCTGAAAAAATAAAAAAAAATATTTTCTATTCAAAACATTTTTAAAACCAGAGTTATTTTACTATTTAGAACTCATTAATTAAGTCTTAACTTTATTTACTTTTATTATTACTAACTTTAAGTATAGAAATAAAATTATGATATAAAATAGATAATTATGGCTAAATTAAGAAGTATTCAATTTTGATAATAATCATATTGGCTTGGCTTTTTCCTTAGCAGAATAGAGTTTCAACTTTTCAAACTTCTTTCATTATAGCTTTTGTTAATAAGTCAATAACAAGCAGTATTCGAACCTAATGAATATAAATATCAAGATTATTTAAGAAAACACTTTTTACTCTTTTTGGTTTAAAATAACAATAGCTCTAAGAACTCAAAACAGTTCACAACTCTCATTGACCCATGTTGTATTCCTACAAACCACTGCACTTATTGACACTTATGTTAAAAATTACTTACTATTGTTTGCAAGTTGTACTGAACCCCGCTATGTGTCCTCTGACCCCAGTGTCAATTCAAGAGTCTGTGGCAATCGTCCTGACTGGATACTCTGAGAGTCCTTTTAGTATAACACAATGTAGTGTAGTCCTTTTGGGATAACACAATGGGATACCTTAAAAAGATACCTTGGTGTAGACCCAGAGTAGAGCTTCTTTTGGGATACCAGATGTAAGCTAGAGGACTTCATGTGTTCATACTGCACCATAAGGCAAAAGTCCATACTGTACTCAAGATGTTCATGACCCTTATATCTACAATGTATGTTTATCACCCTAATAATACAAACCACATAGTAACTACTTATAAAACGAATAATTCTACTCCATTACCAATTCTATCTATACATCACATTTACTCTAGACACTAATAACAATTTAATAGCACAACAACTAATGACTTTCCTTAACTATTGTTTTCGGTCTATATCATCACCTTTACACAAAATACTAACGACAATTTAGTGGAAAATAATTAATGGTTACTACTTATCTGAAAAATTTGACCACAACAATTGACCACTATTGTTCCAAAATATATTCTTATAAAGTATTGTTTCAAAAACGCACTTATATGTTATTGTTGTTATATTAACCTCACGTCATCAGGATTCAAATATCTATTCTCGTGATATTGTATTCTATTTCCATTCTTATAACCCTGATTTATTTTTATTTAATCTAGAAGGCTTACCATGCTTAATTAAGTTCTACTATGTTCGTCGCCATATTCAAACACTCACAAAAAACAGCACCTAATAAATATCTTTTCATAATACACTTATTTCTCTAATATACCCCTCTTTCACTGTTGCCTAAATATTCAAAGACTTTAAACATACTTAACATATTAGAAGACTCGTTGTTTGTAGAGAGACACACAAAGAAGGTTTTGGAACATACGTAGGCATTGCAAGCCCTCGAATCAACCTGGAACGCGAAAAGATGTTCAAGATAATGAATGGAAATTGCTTCTATCCGATGAATAATTGGCGACTTGATATCCAAATTATATACTGTAACTATGTCACCTCAGACCTAGAAACCTTCAAACTGACAACATTTTTCCTAGGGAATGGTTGCTCGCCATTTGTTTTATTCACATTCCTTATTTTAGGGTTTAAAAGAGGCCTATCCAAATTTATTAAACGAATTTATCAAATTAAATGGATTACAAAAAACTTAGAATCACATAACAGTAAATAGTACTACTTCGACATTCACTTCAAACAAATGAGAAATCTCAACCTACAATCACTCGCTTCCCAGAAACGAAACCGTGACACTGTTTTTGACGATATCTAAAAGACGAAAAGCGGACATGAATCTTTATAAACAATACACTTAACGAAATAATATAACACGAACCTGTAACTTTTACAAAATTTATATGCTTATTTAAATATGTAAATATCAAAATATGCTAATAATGACTCATTTATTTATTAATAAATCCTCACTTATAATGCTACTCATCACAGGATAACAAAACACGCGTTGCTAAGCATGTAACACACTACTGCATTTATTAACAATCAATGTTTTATGAAAACACATTATATTTCTTCCCTCGCCCACATCTCCTATATAAGTAACAGCATCATATGTAATTATTAACTAATAA